GGAAGGTGATAGTGAGGTTAGGGAGGGGGGGGGAACGGGAGGGGGGAAGGGGGAAAATATGAGAGGGGGAAGGAGAGGAGGGGAGGTGGGGGATGGGGAGGGGAGGGTAGACTTGATGAACGAAAATGAGGGGAATTGTAACTTGTGGTGTGAAATATACGTGTGAGACTGTGAGAGACAGCGGAAATGTCCTTGTTAAGTGAGGAGCTTATCTCTCTCTCTCTCTTTATCTCTGTGTGTGTCTCTCTCTCACTCTCTCACTCCCTCTCTTTACGAGGATGTTGGTCATTTGAGGAGCCGGTATCTTACTTAACTCTTGGCAAAGGCACTTGTGAATAGATACTGGGCCTGGTGTGGTGTGTGTGTGTGTGTGTGTTTTTACTCACCTACATATGGTTGCTGGGGTCGATTCATAGCTCTTGGCCCCGCCTCTTCACTGGTCTCTACTAGGTAACTCTCCCTGCTCCATGAGCTTTATCATACCTGTTTTTAAAGCTATGTATGGATCCTGCCTCCACTACATCACTCTCCAGATTATTCCATTTTCTGACAACTCTGTGGCTGATCTGAGTCTTCAACTTCCAGTTGTGAACCCTTGGTGCTGTGTCCCCTTGTTGCTGTGACCCCTTGTTGCTGTGACCCCTTGTTGCTGTGACCCCTTGGTGCTGTGTCCCCTTGTTGCTGTGACCCCTTGTTGCTGTGACCCCTTGTTGCTGTGTCCCCTTGGTGCTGTGACCCCTTGTTGCTGTGACCCATTGTTGATGTGACCCCTTGGTGCTGTGTCCCCTTGTTGCTGTGACCCCTTGTTGCTGTGACCCCTTGGTGCTGTGTCCCCTTGTTGCTGTGACCCCTTGTTGCTGTGACCCCTTGGTGCTGTGTCCCCTTGGTGCTGTGACCCCTTGGTGCTGTGACCCCTTGTTGCTGTGACCCCTTGGTGCTGTGTCCCCTTGTTGCTGTGACCCCTTGGTGCTGTGTCCCCTTGGTGCTGTGACCCCTTGTTGCTGTGACCCCTTGGTGCTGTGTCCCCTTGTTGCTGTGACCCCTTGGTGCTGTGTCCCCTTGTTGCTGTGACCCCTTGGTGCTGTGTCCCCTTGTTGCTGTGACCCCTTGTTGCTGTGACCCCTTGGTGCTGTGTCCCCTTGTTGCTGTGACCCCTTGGTGCTGTGTCCCCTTGTTGCTGTGACCCCTTGGTGCTGTGTCCCCTTGTTGCTGTGACCCCTTGTAGCTGTGACCCCTTGGTGCTGTGTCCCCTTGTTGCTGTGACCCCTTGGTGCTGTGTCCCCTTGTTGCTGTGACCCCTTGTTGCTGTGACCCCTTGTTGCTGTGACCCCTTGGTGCTGTGTCCCCTTGTTGCTGTGACCCCTTGTTGCTGTGACCCCTTGTTGCTGTGACCCCTTGGTGCTGTGTCCCCTTGTTGCTGTGACCCCTTGTTGCTGTGACCCCTTGGTGCTGTGTCCCCTTGTTGCTGTGACCCCTTGGTGCTGTGTCCCCTTGTTGCTGTGACCCCTTGTTGCTGTGACCCCTTGTTGCTGTGACCCCTTGTTGATGTGACCCCTTGGTGCTGTGTCCCCTTGGTGCTGTGTCCCCTTGTTGCTGTGTCCCCTTGGTGCTGTGTCCCCTTGTTGCTGTGACCCCTTGTTGCTGTGACCCCTTGGTGCTGTGTCCCCTTGTTGCTGTGACCCCTTGGTGCTGTGTCCCCTTGGTGCTGTGACCCCTTGTTGCTGTGACCCCTTGGTACTGTGACCCCTTGTTGCTGTGACCCCTTCTTGCTGTGACCCCTTGTTGCTGTGACCCCTTGGTGCTGTGTCCCCTTGTTGCTGTGACCCCTTGGTGCTGTGTCCCCTTGTTGCTGTGACCCCTTGTTGCTGTGACCCCTTGGTGCTGTGTCCCCTTGTTGCTGTGACCCCTTGGTGCTGTGTCCCCTTGGTGCTGTGACCCCTTGTTGCTGTGACCCCTTGGTACTGTGACCCCTTGTTGCTGTGACCCCTTCTTGCTGTGACCCCTTCTTGCTGTGACCCCTTGGTGCTGTGTCCCCTTGTTGCTGTGACCCCTTGGTGCTGTGTCCCCTTGTTGCTGTGACCCTTGTTGCTGTGACCCTTGGTGCTGTGTCCCCTTGTTGCTGTGACCCCTTGGTGCTGTGTCCCCTTGGTGCTGTGACCCCTTGTTGCTGTGACCCCTTGGTGCTGTGTCCCCTTGTTGCTGTGACCCCTTGTTGCTGTGACCCCTTGTTGCTGTGACCCCCTTGGTGCTGTGACCCCTTGGTGCTGTGACCCCTTGGTGCTGTGACCCCTTGTTGCTGTGAACCCTTGGTGCTGTGAGCCCTTGTTGCTGTGTCCCCTTGTTGCTGTGACCCCTTGATGCTGTGAACCCTTGGTGCTGTGACTCCTTGGTGCTGTGTCCCCTTGTTGCTGTGAACCCTTGTTGCTGTGACCCCTTGTTGCTGTGACTCCTTGGTGCTGTGACCCCTTGTTGCTGTGAACCCTTGGAGCTGTGACCCCTTGTTGCTGTGACCCCTTGTTGCTGTGACCCCTTGGTGCTGTGTCCCCTTGTTGCTGTGTCCCCTTATTACTGTGTCCCCTTGTTGCTGTGACCCCTTGTTGCTGTGAACCCTTGGAGCTGTGACCCCTTGTTGCTGTGACCCCTTGGTGCTGTGACCCCTTGTTGCTGTGAACCCTTGGAGCTGTGACCCCTTGTTGCTGTGAACCCTTGTTGCTGTATCCCCTTGTTGCTGTGACTCCTTGGTACTGTGACCCCTTGTTGCTGTGTCACATCTCTGGAACATCCTGTCCCTATCCACCTTGTCAATTCCTCTCAATATTTTATATGTCGTTATCATGTCCCCCCTATTCCTCCTGTCCTCCAGTGTTGTCAGGTTAAGTTCCCTTAACTCCAGGACTAGTTTTGTTGCAAACCTTCGCAATTTCTCTAATTTCTTGACGTGTTTGACGGAAGGAGGGATATCAGATTTGATTCGAGGAAGGGGCAAAGGGTAGGCTCCACTTCCTTGGATCAAAGGTCCTTCGCCACTGAAAGAATTAATCTATTTAACTGTTTGTCTTTGAGGGGAGAGGGGAAAGTGCCTTCCCCTCATCACTCTTCCCCCCCTACCCGTCTTCTACTCCCTCCCCTCCTTCTATCCCCCGTGCCTCCCCTACCCTTCTACCCTTCCGCCCTTCCCCTCCTTCTACCCCCTTCTGCCCTCCCTTCCTCCTTTCCCTCTCCCCCTCAAAGTAACAACAACAACAACAAAAACAATAATAATAATAATAATAATAATAATAATAATAATAATAATAATAATAATAATAATAATAATAATAATAATAATAATAATCTCAAACAGTAAAGTATGACAGGGAAATAAAGTAACTTATTGAAGTTAAGTAATTAAAGATAAATAATGTAACGAAAGTAATATAACAATAAAACCCTTAATAATAAACAGGAATAATGGAAATATAATTAATTTACAAGAGACAGAAGAATAAAGAAATTATGGTTATAAGAAAGTAATAAAGAGAGAGAGAGAGAGAGAGAGAGAGAGAGAGAGAGAGAGAGAGGCATCAACATTCACCTGGGGAGAGTGGCACTCTACACAAGGTAATCTGGCCCCTTGTGGCACTCTGCTTAATTCATGGGGTCACTGGCCTCTCTTTGGCACTCTTGTTTATGAGTGAAGGATGGGTGTGCAAGGGAGGGTTGTGGGGGGGACAGTGCCACTACCCCCCTCCCCTAGACAGTGCCAGCGGTGCCGAGTAACGAGCAGTAGAAAAGTGAAGACTGCCTGGAAGGCATAATTGGCCCTCTCTACCTGTTGTTTTCCTCTCTCTCTCTCTCTCTCTCTCTCTCTCTCGCTTTAACACAGGGTTTGACAAGGTTAGGTTAAGGGTCTCTAGCTCTACTGACAATCTCTCTCTCTCTCTCTCTCTCTCTCTCTGTTCCTCCACTCCCCCTCCCCTAGGTCATTCCACCATACAATAACAGGTGTAATGACAGATGTGACAGGTGCTAATCATCCTGCTGAGATGATAAATGATACTATAATGAGGGAGTGAGTGAGAGAGAGAGAGAGAGAGAGAGAGAGAGAGAGAGAGAGAGAGAGAGAGAGAGAGAGAGAGAGAGAGAGAGAGAGAGAGAGAGAGAGAGAGAGAGAGAGAGAGAGAGAGATTGTCAGTAGAGCCAGAGACCCTTAACCTAACCTTGTCAAACCCTGTGTTAAAGAGAGAGAGAGAGAGAGAGACAGAGAGAGAGAGAGAGAGAGAGAATGAGAGGTGAAGTAATTAACGAATAAATACTTAAAACAATGAATAATTGCGAATGAAAGGACCGACATGAAGACTGACAACATCCACTGCCAAGGTCACCTCTAACTCATCTCTAAGTCACTTCTTCCCCAACATCTTGAGAACCCAACCTTCTCCACCACTCCAACTCCCCACCAGCACCTCCAACACCTCCCGTTGATCTTCCAAAGGCTCAATAGTGATTACCCTTAAGTGAATATTATTTTAAGTGTATCAGTCTCCTGTGCCACGCCTACCACTTGACCTGACCTCTCCCGGGGGTCATCACGGGCCCGTGTGAGGTCAGGTAGCGAGCCTCAAAGTGACAGGTGTGAAGAGAGGTCAAGTAGCCAGCCTCAAGACAGGTCAGGTCAAGGGAAGAGTCAATTAGGGTCAATTTGTCAGATTAAGGAATAAAGGGAAGGATTTAGGGGTGAGTAGGTGCGTGGGTAGATTGATGTTAGTGGGGGTAGATTGATGTTAGTGGGGGTAGATTGATGTTAGTGGGGGTAGACTGATGTTAGTGGGGGTAGATTGATGCTGGTGTAATTCTCTCTCTCTCTCTACCCATCAATCTCTAACAACCATCTTCATCCCAGGCACTGCCTCCACTCCACAAACACCCCCCAACTCCACACTCCTCCACTTCAACCTCTCCCAGTCCCCCCTTACATCCTCCAATCGCATCCCATCCCCCACCAGGATAACCCCACCTACCTGTATCCTGTCCTCCGGCAGGTCAGTCTTGAGAGACAGCATCTCTCTGGCGTACACGTCAGGGTAGTGAGATTCCTTGAAGGCTTTCTCCAGTTCTTCCAGTTGAAAGGATGTGAAGATGGTCCGGCTGTAAGAATCGAAAGAAAAGTGAGTTAGATGACTGTAAAGAGAGAGAGAGAGAGAGAGAGAGAGAGAGAGAGAGAGAGAGAGAGAGAGAGAGAGAGAGAGAGAGAGAGAGAGAGAGTGAGAGAGTCAACAATGATACATATGTGAGCAAAATCGCTCCCCTGAACGAATCTGCCTGGACTTCCTACTATGTTTCTGCAACATTGCAAGCTCCTGATGATGTGTTGATTGCAGCACGAAAGGCCTAGAGCTATGATTCATATATACACACATTAAATCATCCACGGATAACAATGCAGCGACTGGCCGCCGGGAATCGAACTCCCGATCCTCTAACGCAAAAACTGAGGAGGGGGGAAGAGGGGAAGAGAGAAGTGTTGGGGAGAGGGGAGCTAGTGTGTGTGCTAGGGAGTCTAGGGAGGAGAACTGTGGGAGGAGAACTTTGGGAGGAGAACTGTGGGAGGAGAACTTTGGGAGGAGAACTGTGGGAGGAGAACTTTGGGAGGAGAACTGTGGGAGGAGAACTGTGGGAGGAGAACTTTGGGAGAAGAACTGTGGGAGGAGAACTTTGGGAGAAGAACTGTGGGAGGAGAACTGTGGGAGGAGAACTGTGGGAGGAGAACTGTGGAGGAGAACTTTGGGAGGAGAACTGTGGAGGAGAACTGTGGGAGGAGAACTGTGGAGGAGAACTTTGGGAGGAGAACTGTGGGAGGAGAACTGTGGGAGGAGAACTTTGGGAGGAGAACTGTGGGAGGAGAACTGTGGGAGGAGAACTTTGGGAGGAGAACTGTGGGAGGGAACTGTGGGAGGAGAACTTTGGGAGGAGAACTGTGGGAGGAGAACTTTGGGAGAAGAACTGTGGGAGGAGAACTGTGGGAGGAGAACTGTGGGAGGAGAACTGTGGGAGGAGAACTGTGGGAGGAGAACTGTGGAGGAGAACTGTGGGAGGAGAACTGTGGGAGGAGAACTGTGGGAGGAGAACTGTGGGAGGAGAACTGTGGGAGGAGAACTGTGGGAGGAGAACTGTGGGAGGAGAACTGTGGGAGGAGAACTGTGGGAGGAGAACTGTGGGAGGAGAACTGTGGGAGGAGAACTGTGGGAGGAGAACTGTGGGAGGAGAACTGTGGGAGGAGAACTGTGGGAGGAGAACTGTGGAGGAGAACTGTGGGAGGAGAACTGTGGGAGGAGAACTGTGGGAGGAGAACTGTGGGAGGAGAACTGTGGGAGGAGAACTGTGGGAGGAGAACTGTGGGAGGAGAACTGGGGGAGGAGAACTGTGGGAGGAGAAACTGTGGGAGAACTGTGGGAGGAGAACTGTGTACAGAAGAGAAAACTGATTCATGTATACATGTCTACGAAAAAAATTGAACATCTGAATAAATATTTTGAGTATTGAGGGGGTTCTAAGCTTCAACAAGGGTTCTAGAGACTTCAAAAGGGTAAGCTTCAGAAAGGGGGTCTGAGCTTTAGAAAAGGGGTTTAGCTTCAAACATGGGAGAGTAAACTGGGGTAGGAGAACTTGGAGAAAGGGGAGGAGAACGTGGGAGAGAACTGGGGAGAACTGTGGGAGAAAACTGGGTAGAGAACTTGGAGGAGAACTTGGAGAGAACTGTGGGAGAGAACTGTGGGAGGAGAACTGTGGGAGAGAACTGTGGGAGGAAATGTGGTCAGGCTCAAACTGGGTCAGGAGAACAAGGGGAGAGAAACTGTGGGAGTAAACTTGGGAGGAGAACTGGTTAGGAGAACTGTGGAGGAACAAATGGGTAGGAGAACTGGGGAGGAGTTTGAGGAGAACTGGAGGAAACTGTGGGAGGAGAACTGTGGAGAAACTGGTTGGGAGAGTTCAACTGGTTTGGGAGGAGAACTTGGGAAAGCTTGGAGAACGAACGTGTCAAGAAACTGGGTCAGTCAAACATGTCTAGAGAAACAAGGGTTAGCAAACAAGGGTCTAAGTCCAACAAGTTTAGAGCTTCGACAGGGTTCTAAGCTCCAAACAAGGGTATTTAAGCTTCAAAACAAGGGTTCTAAGCTTCAAAACAAGGGTTCTAAGCTTCAAACAAGGGGTTCTAAGCTCCAATCAAGGGTTCTAATGCTTCAAAACGAGGGTTCTAAGCTTCAAACAAGGGTTCTAAAGCTTGCAAACAAGGGTTCTAAGCTTAAACAGGGTTCTAAGCTCAAACAAGGGTTCTAAGCTTCAAACAAGGGTTCTAAGCTTCAAACAAGGGTTCTAAGCTTCAAACAAGGGTTCTAAGCTTCAAACAAGGGTTCTAAGCTTCAAACAAGGTTCTAAGCTCAAACAAGGGTTCTAAAGCTTCAAACAAGGGTTCTAAGCTTAAACAAAGGTTCAAGCTTCAAACAGGGGTTCTAAGCTTTAAACAAGGGGTTCTAAGCTTCAAACAAGGGTTCTAAGCTTCAAACAAGGGTTCTAAGCTCCAAACAAGGGTTCTAAGCTTCAAACAAGGGTTCTAAGCTCCAAACAAGGGTTCTAAGCTTCAAACAAGGGTTCTAAGCTTCAAACAAGGGTTCTAAGCTTCAAACAAGGGTTCTAAGCTTTAAACAAAGGTTCTAAGCTTCAAACAAGGGTTCTAAGCTTTAAACAAAGGTTCTAAGCTTCAAACAAGGGTTCTAAGCTTCAAACAAGGGTTCTAAGCTTCAAACAAGGGTTCTAAGCTTCAAACAAGGGTTCTAAGCTTTAAACAAGGGTTCTAAGCTTCAAACAAGGGTTCTAAGCTTTAAACAAAGGTTCTAAGCTTCAAACAAGGGTTCTAAGCTTTAAACAAAGGTTCTAAGCTTCAAACTAGGGTTCTAAGCTCGAAAGAAGGGTTCTAAGCTTCAAACAAGGGTTCTAAGCTTCAAACAAGGGATCTAAGCTTCAAACAAGGGTTCTAAGCTTCAAACAAGGGTTCTAAGCACCAAACAAGGGTTCTAAGCTTCAAACAAGGGTTCTAAGCTCCAAACAAGGGTTCTAAGCTCCAAACAAGGGTTCTAAGCTCCAAACAAGGGTTCTAAGCTTTAAACAAAGGTTCTAAGCTCGAAACAAGGGTTCTAAGCTTTAAACAAAGGTTCTAAGCTCGAAACAAGGGTTCTAAGCTTTAAACAAAGGTTCTAAGCTCGAAACAAGGGTTCTAAGCTTTAAACAAAGGTTCTAAGCTCGAAACAAGGGTTCTAAGCTTTTAAACAAAGGTTCTAAGCTCGAAACAAGGGTTCTAAGCTTTAAACAAAGGTTCTAAGCTCGAAACAAGGGTTCTAAGCTTTAAACAAAGGTTCTAAGCCCCCAAACAAGGGTTCTAAGCTTTAAACAAAGGTTCTAAGCTCGAAACAAGGGTTCTAAGCTTTAAACAAAGGTTCTAAGCTCCAAACAAGGGTTCTAAGCTTTAAACAAAGGTTCTAAGCTCCAAACAAGGGTTCTAAGCTTTAAACAAAGGTTCTAAGCTCCAAACAAGGGTTCTAAGCTTTAAACAAAGGTTCTAAGCTCCAAACAAGGGTTCTAAGCTTTAAACAAAAGTTCTAAGCTTCAAACAAGGGTTCTAAGCTTTAAACAAAGGTTCTAAGCTTCAAACAAGGGTTCTAAGCTTTAAACAAAGGTTCTAAGCTTCAAAAAAGGGTTCTAAGCTTTAAACAAAGGTTCTAAGCTCCAAACAAGGGTTCTAAGCTTTAAACAAAAGTTCTAAGCTTCAAACAAGGGTTCTAAGCTTTAAACAAAGGTTCTAAGCTTCAAACAAGGGTTCTAAGCTTTAAACAAAGGTTCTAAGCTTCAAACAAGGGTTCTAAGCTTTAAACAAAGGTTCTAAGCTCCAAACAAGGGTTCTAAGCTTTAAACAAAGGTTCTAAGCTCTAAACAAGGGTTCTAAGCTTTAAACAAAGGTTCTAAGCTTCAAACAAGGGTTCTAAGCTTTAAACAAAGGTTCTAAGCTCCAAACAAGGGTTCTAAGCTTTAAACAAAGGTTCTAAGCTTCAAACAAGGGTTCTAACCTTTAAACAAATGTTCTAAGCTCCAAACAAGGGTTCTAAGCTTTAAACAAAGATTCTAAGCTCCAAACAAGGGTTCTAAGCTTTAAACAAAGGTTCTAAGCTCCAAACAAGGGTTCTAAGCTTGAAACAAAGGTTCTAAGCTCCAAACAAGGGTTCTAAGCTTTAAACAAAGGTTCTAAGCTCCAAACAAGGGTTCTAAGCTTTAAACAAAGGTTCTAAGCTTCAAACAAATGTTCTAAGCTTTAAACAAAGGTTCTAAGCTTCAAACAAGGGTTCTAAGCTTTAAACAAAGGTTCTAAGCTCCAAACAAAAGTTCTAAGCTTTAAACAAAGGTTCTAAGCCCCAAACAAGGGTTCTAAGCTTTAAACACAGGTTCTAAGCTCCAAACAAGGGTTCTAAGCTTTAAACAAAGGTTCTAAGCTCCAAACAAGGATTCTAAGCTTTAAACAAAGGTTCTAAGCTCCAAACAAGGGTTCTAAGCTTTAAACAAAGGTTCTAAGCTCCAAACAAGGGTTCTAAGCTTTAAACAAAGGTTCTAAGCTCCAAACAAGGGTACTAAGCTTTAAACAAAGGTTCTAAGCTCCAAACAAGGGTTCTAAGCTCCAAACAAAGGTTCTAAGCTCCAAACAAGGGTTCTGAGCATTAAACAAAGGTTCTAAGCTCCAAACAAGAGTTCTAAGATTCAAACAAAGGTTCTAAGGTCCAAACAAGGGTTCTAAGCTTTAAACAAAGGTTCTAAGCTCCAAACAAAGGTTCTAAGCTTTAAACAAAGAGTCTAAGCTCCAAACAAGGGTTCTGAGCTTTAAACAAAGGTTCTAAGCTCCAAACAAAGGTTCTAAGCTTTAAACAAAGGTTCTAAGCTCCAAACAAGGGTTCTAAGCTTTAAACAAAAGTTCTAAGCTTCAAACAAGGGTTCTAAGCTTTAAACAAAGGTTCTAAGCTCCAAACAAGGGTTCTAAGCTTTAAACGAAGGTTCTAAGCTCCAAACAAGGGTTCTAAGCTCCAAACAAAGGTTCTAAGCTCCAAACA